CTCTCTCCTTGTGAAGATGGGGCACCTGGAGTGAGGTCAGGGTCCCTCACCTGCTGTTGCCTTGCCATTGGTGGCTAGAATGATAGAGTGCAGGTCTGTGCGTTGCCACCAACCTGCCCATAGATACAGCCTGGTACTCCCATGCCTGAGGCAGCAAGGTACAATCAGTATGGCTGCAATCCAGCTGCGCACCTTAGTAAACTGCCCACTGTTCCTGTTTCTGATTGAGCATTTGACTGATGTCCCAAATTGTTGACCCCAACCAGTCCTTCCTGCCTGAGGCTGAGCAGGTGCCTGCTCTTGGGCAGGTCTCTGAATGCTGACAGCCTGGGCCCCATTTCTTCATCAGCCAGCTGCAGAGCTGTTACAGTCAGGTGCTCACCAGATTGTGCTCCCACACTCTCTAAAGTTGATGGTCCCACTGAAGATCTGGGCTGGGGGACAGTGCAAGAAGCAGTCATGAGGAATCTGGACTCTCTTCCTCAGAAGTGGACGAGGGAATGTCCTGAGGGATGAGCCTCCTGACACTGGAGACTGTGCAGATGTCACTGAAAGAGAGAGAGAGAGAATAGGAATGCATTGGGAACAAGGGCTAGAAGGTATGGTAATGATAACAGTGGGGGTTTTGGGAGAACAGCACAGCAATGAACAATGCTTTTTTCTTGTTTGCTGGGACATGGAGGTTTTGGAATTTCCATAGGGGACCAATCCCAGTGCTTGCTGGTGAGGACCAGGGTCCTCTGCTGACTGGAGTGAGGAACTGAATGTCATTCTGTCTTTCTCTACCTGACTGTGGGCTGCTTTCTCATGGAATGAGAGGGATTAAATGAGATGAAAGTAGGGGGCACAGCTATTACTATAGGAACTGGTTGGAGGGCACTGAGTGAGTGGGCAGATCAAGGGACATGGAGCGTTAGTAGTGCCAAGGGTTGGGATGGGTGAGAGTGGGTGAGGATGTTGTGGGTAATAGTGAGAGTGGCAGAGCATGAGGCTTGGTGGGAGATGGGTGCAGTTGTAGAATTAGAGTGAGTACAAGGTATTGGAGAGAAGATGGCAGGTTGGCAATCTCAGACCAGGCTGGCGAGGTCTGGTGCTTCGTCTCCACTGCTAATCTCTGGGGAACAGCATGGCCCTTCCTGAACCACCCTATTCACCAGGCCCGCCTGGCCCCTGCCAAAAACAACTGGGCGGCAATTTTCCTCGGTCAGCCCTGACCAGCGCAATTCACAGGAACCATGCAGAGGGGCTCTGGATTGATAGTACTTACCGGGAAGTGTGTTAAATATGGTGCCAGCAGTAGGAATCCTGGCAAGTCCTGGCTGAGGCAAGAGTGTAACTGCAACAAGTAGGACAACATCGAGAAGTGGTACATAGCTAATGAGGCACGTTTTGGAAAATCGTGAGATAAATCCGTCTAAGTCTTACAGAGAGAAAACCTCCATAAAACTCACCCAAACCAATACTTGACAACAAGGTGCAGGGCTGGATGAACACA